GCAATATGCACCAATCCTAAATTTCTGAATTAGACTAAGAGCACTTCTACTATGCTATATAGTATTGGTGCTTTAATGTACAACTTAAAGTTGTACCATAACATTAAATGTATAAGTTTAGGTTGTACCATAAAGCAATTTGTACTATTATGTTATGGTACAACTTTACAACTTGAAGTTGTACCATCACACAAAGGTACAAGTTCAAGTTGTACCTTAAAAGAATTTGTACAAAAAGTATAGGTACAATCTGAAGTTGTACCATAACGTAAATGTACAATTTTAAGTTGTACCATAAAGGCAAAATCCTATAGCACCAATACTATATAGCATTGTAAAATTTCTCTTAGACTAATTATGCCCGACTTGTACATGTTGGAGTGACATATGCTTAATTGGCAACATCGCAATAGCAAATCCCTTCACTAAAGTTTCTATTTTAGTTTAGGTGATAATTGAGAGACTAGTTGAACAGCGTATGATTTAAGACATTACGTTAAATTGACCTTAAACTTGCACCGATATAGATGGAACAAGAAAGGGCCCAAATTTCCTATCTATTTTATTATGTGAAAATCCCACTTGCATACTCTGGAACACGAACAACGTTAATTACTTAACCTTACAAAAAGTGCGGATCTGGTGACTAAGGGAGGTCCTTAGTCACTTGACTAAGCCCCCTAGCCTTTGGATTGATCTAATGGTCCAGATAAATTAATGAATTATTATTAAATGGGAAGGGTAGTTTTGGTATTATCAGAAATTCATTAACTCCTATTTTTGGTTTTGTTTTATTTATTATTATTGATTTCTGATTTTCCTCTGCAACCGTCTCCTCTTCTTCCCTTTTTTGCGATGTCCAGAGAGAGAGAGAGAGAGAGAGAGAGAGAGAGAGAGATGGCGGAGGAGAACCCAGGGCCGGTGGAGGAGAGAGATCGCAGCGCCTGTGGAGGAGAGAGAGAAAGAGACAGGCAACGCCATCAATGGAGAGAGAGAGAGATGGCGATGACGACGCTGGAGGAGAGAGAAACACCGCCAGAGGCAGATTCGTCGGAGAACGACAACGATGTAAGAGAGGGGGGCGACAACGGCGATGAAGAGAGGAAGGAGACCTCGACGGCGTCGACGGCGATGGAGAAAGGGAAAGGCGATCGCGACGGAGGCGGCAGCGTTGGAGAGAGAGAAAGCAGATCTGGTCGTCGGGAAAACAGAGGAGAGAGTGGCGATGGTAGAGGAGAGAGAGGCAGTGGCAGAGAGAGAGAGTCGACGACGATGGAGGAGAGAGAAGAGGTGCGGTGATGGAGAGAGAGAGAGAGGGGTAGCTACGACTGTAAAGAGCGTCGGCGACGGCAGCGGTGGAGAGAGAGTCGGCTCTCGACATCATATTTTGTTGTCTGAAGGAAGAACAATGGTTTGTACTGCAAATGTTGTCAGTTTGTAGTACTTTTGTGCATAATATTAGTATGATTTGTATAGTTTGTATGTTTTGTATTATTAATTTGTACATAAAAAAACATTACAAACATGGTTAACAAAAATGACAAATATGTTGGACAAAAATAACAAAGCTTATAAACATTACAAAATAACAAAGCTTATAAACATTACAAAATAACAAAGCTTACAAACATTACAAAACAACTCGACAAACATTGCAAAACATACTAACAGTACAAAATGTCACTACTTATGATACAAATCAGTAAACTTGTATTACAAATCAATGAATAGAAAGTGTACAAATCATAACATAAAGTATACAAAATGTCACTACTTATAATACAAATTAGTAAACTTGTATTACAAATTAATGAATAGAGAATGTACAAATCATAACATAAAGTATACAAACTAGACAAACAAACATTACAAATTACAATATATACAAAATAGTCATATAAACATTACAAACTAGAATGATAAAAGATATAAACATAATCGATTACAAACTAGGCGACAAAAATTACGAAATCGTCGCCGCCAACAAATCTGGCGATGTCGTCGTCTCTCTCCTCCTCAACCGCCGCTGCCTCTCTCTCCTCCACTGTCGTCGTCGCTTTCGTCTTCTCTTGCCGTCATAGTTCCTCGCCGCCGTCGTCGTTGTTCCTCATCGCCACCGCTATCTCTCTCTCTACCACTGCCGCTCTCTCTCCTCTACGGTCGCCATCGCCTCTCTCTCTTCTCCTATACCTCCACCCCTCTCTCTCTATCCCCGAACATAGAACGCTGTCGACCGTCGTCCCTATGGATCCATCTCCGCGTGCGACAAACAAGTGAGGGAAGGACTCCTTTTTTTTTTAATTACAAAATTAAAATGTATAATTACTTTGTTGTCCTTCTTTAAAATGAATTAATTGTAACCTTAGAATTTCAATAAACATGAAAGACTGAGATTGATTTAGCCAAGTGACTAAGAGTACCCTAATCACCTGATCTTAACTCCTTACGAAAACAAAATTCCTTCCACCCACTTTCATCTTAGCAGGACCATATATCCTTTCATCCTTTGCTATTTTTTATATTACCGCCCACTTTCATCTTAGCAGGACCATATAACTGAGAAATCGGTTGAAGAGGAGGTAAATCATTTACTCATCAGATTTATTTGTTAAAGCACACGTAAGCATTAATGAATTAGGTGGATGTGTGGAATGAAGGAGACATTGCCATGATCAACCATCATTACTGCTTGTTCCAAGCTCATATAATTGAAGTTATGAATCACCGACTGAAGTTTATATCATAAGAAAAGACGTCTTCCTAGTCGAGTACTTCTACTATGCTATATAGCATTAGTGCTTTAATGTACAATTCAAAGTTGTACCATAACATTAAATGTATAAGTTTAGGTTGTACCATAAAGCAATTTGTACCATTATGTTATGGTACAACTTTACAACTAGAAGTTGTACCTTCACATAAAGGTACAAGTTCAAGTTGTACCATAAAAGAATTTGTACAAAAAGTATAGGTACAATCTGAAGTTGTACCATAACGTAAATGTACAATTTTAAATTGTACCATAAAGGCAAAAACCTATAGCACCAATACTATATAGCATTGTAAAATTTCTCAGTCTTCCTATTATAAAAACATTTATCAGTACATATCTGGTTCTGACTAGAGAATAGTAAGGTAATTGACAAATTAAAACTACAAAAGCATAACTAGAAATCAATGAAAAAATCCATGAAACATAAAACTTTTCAAATCCATAATCAACTAAATCCATAACAAATCTAAGGTTTCCCAAAACCTAGTTTTTGACAAAAAACCATCATGCCTCCAAATCCATGAAACAAACGACCCCTTAATTGATATGTATTTGTTTCGTTCCAACTCCAAATTAATTTTTTTACCCCAAATAATCAGAATGTGATATAAACAATAATATCCATTTCGCTATATGTTTAAATAAGAAAATCCAAGGAAATTACCTTGACCATATGTTCATGAGCTGCGTTCCTACTAGACATAGTTACTAAATTATTAAAATATCACTCAGTTCTATAGCACAATACATGACTGACTTTTCACAACGATAACTCAGAGATCACGTTTCCATTCTACAAACTTATTAAACTATATCAGTATTGTTTAATTTTGTACAACCATCATATACAAAAATTTCATGTGTAAAAAATATCATCATTAAACACAAATCAAATTATAATAACAAACCAAGAAAATCGTCTTCCAGCCAACTAGCAGGGCTCAAAGCTAGTTTGATTTCAAGAGTGTTCAGTGAGTAATTATGCCTTGAAAACTTGGAAAATTAGTTGTATTTATGATGAAAAGCTTCATCTTCATTTTTTATTTGGTTATTACAAGACCATCTTATCATTTAAATATTTTGTAATTTGTGAACAATTACTAGTACCAATATTATAAATTAACTGATGCATGCCGGCGGCGGCACAATCGCTGGCCGGTGGGGCTCCTCCCGGGCCCTCCTCTCAAGATTTCCTTGCGGGACAACGTCGACCCCCGTCGGCTTCGTCCTCACCGAACTCCAAAGGTGATCGCGAAACTCAGCAAAGTAAGAAAAGAGCGAAACCTACCTTGCCCAACATGCCGCTCGAACACGACTCGGACGTGATACTGGAGGACGCTGAGTCGGAGGAGGAGAAAAGAGATAACCAGGGTAGCCCGAAGACGGCGGCATGGACCTCTGGCAAGGGAGCAGCGCGCCGTCTTTTCAGTGATGCGTGGAAGACGGATGCTTGGTACATAGCGGACTCGGACTCGGAAGATGTGGCAGCGGCTATTCGGGAGGACGGGTTGGAAACAGGAGAGGATGGGGAGGATGACCCTATCTGTCCGAATATTTCTTTTTCGGCTGCAGAGGAAAGACGATACTGTAGAGAATTGCGCTCCGCGCTGGTGGTGAAAGTCCTTGGCCGTTCGTCGTCCTACACCGTGGTCTCTCGCAGGCTTAATGCCATCTGGGCAAGGGCGGGAACGATTCAGGTAGCATCGGCAAAGAATGGGTATTTCCTCGTGCGATTTACTAGTGGAATCGACTATGATAGAGCCGTCACAGGCGGACCATGGATGGTGGGAGACCATTATCTGACAGTTCACACATGGGATAAGAGCTTTAATCCCTACAACCATGAGATTTCCTCCACCCTGGTGTGGGCTCGACTACTAGACATACCGGCACAGTATTTTCATACGGAGGCTATGATGAAGATTGGAAAAGCATTGGGAAACCGTTACGTGTGGACCAAGCAACCAGGACAGGAGCTCGGCTAGATTACGGTCGAGTGTGTGTACAAGTAGACCTAACTAAACCCCTACTTTCTCAGTTCAGGATACACGGGATCAAGTACTTTATTCAATATGAGGGCCTCGATAAGATATGCCTCAAGTGTGGGAAGTTCTTTGACCATATTGGATGCCCATGCTCTTTCCCAGAGGTGCATCAAGGAGAAGGAGGTACGAAGCCGCCAGAGACCCCCAGAGAGCCAGAGCCGGAGAAGGTGTACGGAGAATGGATGATTGCCAAAAAGAAACCACGAGCTGGCCGCCAGGAGAAAAACTCAAAGGGAAAACAGATTGCGCAACATGAGACTCAAAACAAAGCTCCCCACCAGAGTGGCTCTCGTTTCTCGGCATTGGTGAACGAGGAAGTGATGGAGGAAGATGGTGCTCAAGTTGGGGACACTACCCAGGAGCAGCCGAAGAAGCCAGTAAGGAGTGATAGGGGTGCTACGGGAGGAAATCACAGAAGAATACCAAGGGGAGTGAGCCAAGTAAACACCTCAACGAGGTTCCTGTTGCTAAAGTAGCCTCGAGTAACAACAAAGAGAAGACCCAAGTGGAATTCCGGTCCACAGAACCGAGCCAATCATTGATGAGTGACACCCAGCTAAGCCGGGACTCTGCTCGGAGGGAACAAGTAAGAATTTCATAGGCAACTCAGGAGGGAGTTCACCCGGAGAGATGGGGTAATGGTCCACGGGAAAAGCCGCCGGATAGTAAAGTTGACCTTCCCCCAGTTACAAGCTGCATGCATGCAAATAACATGGACATGGAACAAACCCCGAGTGAATCTAATGCGAATATGGTGGGAGGCCTCAGTTCTGGGGCGTCTACTGCCTAAGAACTTGGTGAATTATAACCAAGACCTCTCCTTCCATAGCTGTAATGATTAAAGTCTTTGTATGGAATCGTAGGGGCGTGGGAAGCAATCGCTTCCTGAGAGTGTATAAGGAATATCGCAGGAAGTATCGTCCGAGTATCGTGATATTGGTGGAACCTAAAATTAGTGGTACTAGAGCGGAAGATGTGATAAAGGAGCTGGGTTTTGATCAGAACCTGGTCCTGGATGCAGTGGGCTTTGCAGGTGGAATTTGGGTTGTTTGGGACTCGAGCTTGGTTACAATTACGGAGGTTGATAGAGCGTCCCAATTTCTGCATGTCCGGGTTCGCTATGGACAAGTGCAGTGGCTGCTGACGGCTATTTATGCCAGCCCCGCTCTAGTGCAGCGAAGAGACTTGTGGAACTCTATCCGCGACCTGGCCGAAGGAATCACGGAACCGTGGATGCTAGCGGGAGACTTTAACTCGATCCTCCAACCAGCCGACAAGTTGGGTGGCGCACCATTTGATGCTGCGAGGGCTCGCGACTTCAGGATTGCATGCTAGACTCGGGACTGATTGATCTCGGCTTTACAGGCCCCCCTTACACGTGGTTTCGAGCTGGTGTGAAAGAAAGAATAGACAGAAGCATAGTGAATTCCTCCTGGACTGGTACCTTCCCGGACACGGTGGTGAGCCATCTGCCTCGGGTTCGGAGTGACCATAGACCCATTCTCATCACGGTCAATCCTTCATTTCAACCAGGAGGTCCCAAACCTTTCAAGTTCTTGGCGGCTTGGCTGATGCATGAGGGATTTTCGGACATGTTGGAGAGAGCCTGGGCGCGGGGGACGGATCTGGTTTCGGTCGTTGCTGAATTCACGACGGAAGCAACAATTTGGAATCGAGATGAGTTTGGTAATATCATGCGAAAGAAGAATAATCTGCTCCGGACGATCGAGCGACTAGAGCACAGGTATGGCGGCGATGACGATTGCCCAAGTCTTCGGCAGGCTCGAGCTGATCTGGAGGATATCCTCCTTCAAGAAGAGCTCCTCTGGTGCCAAAAGTCCAACATGGAGTGGATTGCTTTAGTGGATAGAAACACGTGCTACTTCCATTCCCGTACCATTAGTAGGCGGAGGAGGAACCAGATCTCGGCATTGAAGAATAGCGTAGGGGAATGGGTGGAAGACCAGGCTAGTCTACTTGATATGGCAAGGGAGTGCTATGAAACTTTGTATACAGATGACGGGGAACCAGTTCGAGTCTTACAGGCAATGTTTGATGATATCCCAGCGAATGCCTGGATCCCCACGGCAGTTCAATTCACTATGGAGGAAGTGCATATGGCGATCAAGGCGATGGGCGGGCTAAAGGCGCTGGGAAAGGACGGTCTCAATCCCCTATTTTATCAACGGAACTGGGAACTTGTGGGAAATGCAGTTCTGGAGTTTATGCGGGCGTGTTGGAACCAGCCATCTAGGGTGAAGGAACTGAATGAAACTATTGTGGTCCTCATCCCGAAGGTGGCGAAACCAACTACGATCGACCAGTTCCTGCCGATCAGCCTCTGTAATGTCTCGTACAAGATGATCACTAAGCGTCTGGCAGAAAGGATAAAGCCCCTCATGCCTCGCCTGGTGCATGAGACTCAAACGAGCTTCGTCCCCGATCGACACATTATTGACAATATCTGTATTTTGCAGGAAGTTGTTCATTCGATGCGGGCCAAGAAGGGTAGGACAGGCTGGATGGTCCTCAAAATTGATCTTGTGAAGGCTTATGACAGGATCAAATGGAGCTTTGTTAGTGACACTTTGCAGGCAGTGGGCGCACCTCGCCAGTTTATTGATCTAACGATGAGTTGCATCTCCTCTTAAACCATGCAGATCCAGTGGAACGGGGGCCTTACAGAGTCCTTCGCACCTTCCCGAGGCCTTCGCCAGGGATGCCCGTTGTCCCCTTATATCTTCACTCTATGCATGGAACGGCTAGGCCATATTATCTCGAAGGCGGTCGCACAAGGCGAATGGAAACCAGTGCGCCTTTCCAGTCAGGGGCCCTCACTGTCCCATCTTTTCTTTGCCGATGATCTAATCCTTTTCAGTGAAGCGTCCACGAGCCAGTCTCAGGTCATTCTGAGGTGCCTTGAAGAGTTTGGGGCGGCGTCGGGACAACAGATCAGCAGGCCAAAGTCTCGGGTATTCTTCACGAAGAATGTGACTGCAGCTAAGGGTGGAATGTTGAGTACCACGTTAGTATCCCAGAAACCAAGAATCTTGGTCGGTATCTGGGAGTACCAAGAATACCACGACAGGGTGTCAAAGGCAACGTATACGGAGCTCATTGATCGGATTGACTCTAGACTAGCAGGTTGGAAAATCAAGTCGCTATCGTTGGCGGGCAGAATAACTCTTGCACAGTCGGTTTTATCCTCTCTCCCAGCGTATACGATGCAGACCTCCTTCCTACCAGCATCGGTGAGGAAGTACATTGATAAAAAGATCCGCGGTTTTATTTGGGGCAGCTCGGAACAGGGTAGGAAGATCCACCTTGTGGACTTGGATACAGTATGCAAACCCAAAGAGGAAGGAGGTTTGGGAATGCGTAGTGCTACACGAATGAACCAGGCATTCATGATGAAGATTGCTTGGAGGTTGATGACGGAATCTGATCAGCTATGGGCTAGAGTGGTGCGAGGTAAGTACTTGAGGTGTACGGATGGAGTCTGGAGACCGCGGACGACAGGCCGTATGTCAAACTTATGGCGAGGAGTGTTGCGCATTCTCCATTATATTCCGCAAGGTTTGATGTGGAACGTTCAAAGTGGCTCTCAAACTAGGTTCTGGACGGATACGTGGCTTCAAGATGGGCCACCTCTCATTGAATTCACTAATGAGCTCCCGGAAGAAGCACGTGACTTGACTGTTGCAGACCTGGTTCTAAATGGGGAGTGGAATCTCCCCTATATCCGAGCATTCTTACCTAACGCAATGGTTTTGCAGCTGCTGCTACATCCAGTGCCGGAGGGGAGTGCCCTAGATACGCCTGTTTGGAGATTATCCCCGACCGGTCTGTTCACTATCAAGTCGGCGGTGGAGTTACTTGGAGAATTGGAGGAACCAGGCCATCCGCACCCGGTTTGGAGGAGGTGTTGGTGGATCGAGGGCCCCGAACGTACACGATCGTTCTTCTGGCTGGTGCTACATCAGCGGTTGCTTACTAATGCGGAACGATGCAGGCGACACTTAACACAATCCGTTGTGTGTCCGGTATGTGGAGGAGGTCCGGAGACGACTCTACATGTGATCAGGGACTGTCCCTACGCAAGCGAGGCTTGGTCGGAAGTTTTGCGGGAAGAGCCGGACAGTCTCTTCTTTGAAGAGGACCTCAATAAGTAGGCACTGTATTACCTTGCCGTCCGAAGTGAAATAATTGACGCTAATCTCTTCGCCATCCTTGCTTGGAAGCTCTGGAAAAACAGGAATAAGTTGGTGTTTGAGAAGACGCTAGCATCGCCTACCCTCTTGGCTCGACAAGCAGAGAAGCTGGCACGTCAGAGCAGCCTAGCTATGAGTAAAGCTCAAAAGATTATGGAGCAACAGCAGCGGAAGTCTATGAGCTTCATTAATTGGCAGAAGCCTCCACCGGGGTGGCTTGCGCTGAACACGGACGGCTCTGTGGTGTTAGCCTCGGGCAGTGCTTCGGCTGGGGGAGTGATCAGGGATAGCAGCGGACAATTTATGAAGGCTTTCTCGGTCAACTTAGGAGGCGGGTCTATCAAGCATGTAGAGTTGTCCGACATTGCACATGGTCTCCGTATTTCCTGGGAGTTGGGAGTGAGGAACGTCTGGTTGCAAACGGACTCGAAGACGGCCGAGTCAATTATAAAGAAGGAACGTGCAAATCACCCGCATAGCACGCTGGCTGCAGTTATCCGGCGATTACTTGATCGTGATTGGGAAGTCAAAATCAGTCATGTGTTCCGGGAGAGTAACTATGTTGCCAATTTCATGGCCTCTGTTGGCCACTCTTTGCCCGTTGGGTGTCATATGTTAGACGACCTAGGACCTAGCCTGAGATACTGGCTTTTGTTCGATTTGATAGGGGTTCAAACACCCCGTCTTATAAATGAATAAGGGTTAGGGCGCCCCTCTGCGCTCTGTTTCTCACAAAAAAAAAATTAACTGATGCACTTGATTTATGGATAATATATTATTTAATTTGGAGATTTCTTTCATTTTAAGTTTAGAGTTATTAGAATTCTGTGATCATTTGGAATGTATATGTTGTAAATCATTTTCTTCTTTATGTAATGTTCGGGTTGGTGTAAATCATTTTCTTCTTTACCCACCACGCAGTGAATGATTTCAAACGCACCCAAATCTGCATAAACCAACCCTTGCTCACATCTAATAACGATTACTCTCATATAGGAAGACATAACTAATAATTATTCTTCAAGACAAGACAAGAATGCAGTAAGTATAGGATGAATAGAAGAGCATATTTTTATCAATAAGTGAACATATCTATGAAAGTTTCTAGAAGCAAGATGTCACGAAACCAACGAAAAAGAAGAGAATTAATCAAACTTCCGCCATAACATGACAAAGAACTACTTGGGTATGAGTGAGTAATTCAATAACAAAAGTGTCTCACAAGTCACAACAACATTAAGAAAAAATAATTCAACAAGAAACGCATATGAGATCGTATCATAGAATTTACCATTAGCAAATAAAATCAACTCATCACCTAAGAATCCAACGAGGTCAATCACACCTTTATTTTGCTTGATACCACCATGAAATCATATTATAATACCATCACCAACAAAAGTTACATATCAGTCATCTCACAAAGATCATGTGACTCGAGATGGGGTTGCCAAAGACCGTTGAAGTCACTTGCTATCTGGGCTATCTTCCCCCACCACATTCGCATTTAACTAAAAGCGAATTGGTCCAGAGCCCACTATTAGATACACTAGGTGGTGATTCTGCCTCTTGTCACGGGTGGAGATGGCTATGGGCATGTATTATGTGGCCAGTTATGCTGTTTTGTTAGTATTATTAGTCTAAAATTAATTTTTTGTTAGCAGTTTTGTTAGTAATATTGACTTGACAATATGATATTGACTGAGAAGATATATATGACGGTAAACATCCAATTTAAAAAAATTGTTTAATAAATGATATTTACCTAAACCCAAGTACACCCATTGATTATAGGTAGAGTATGGCTGATGTATATATGTGTTTAGAAGTTTGCAGATGAGTTTGAGTAATTACTTTCATAATCTAAATGTATATGAGTTGGGTATGGATACCCATTTATTCGAGGGTATTTTAATTACACACAAAATTAGACCTATTTGTAGAACTTCAAAAGTTTAGGTACCAAAATAATACACAAAAAATTTAGGATACTAAAATGTAATGTTCCATCAATATTTTGAGGACTTATATGCCAAAAAAAATTTAGGTTATAAATCTAAAGATTTATCAAGTTTAGGTACCAAACTGTAATTTGCACAGTTGAGGCTTAACTCCTTTTATGGC